AGAGGGAGCAGCTCTCCCAGCGCTGCTCTGGGAGCAGGGCAGCTCTGCCGGCAGAGCCGGGACGTGCTCCTGTAGGCAGGGCCCGGCGCTGCCCTCACCACGGCCCTGCTAGGGGCTTAGTCTCCGCTGCTCTGCACAGCCGGCCGCTCGAGTCCTCAGCTGGGCTCCGAGAATGACCCTGAGCCCCAGAGAGCCGTCCCGGGGGGTAGAGAGCCCAGAGGGCACGAGGGTTCACACCCCTCCCTGGTGCCGCCGAGCCCAGCTCCCAGGGGTCTGCCCAGGGCAGGCTCTGCCTACGGAGAGCTGGGCCTGCCACCCCAATGTGGAGGATGGACAGGGCCTCTCTGGGCCAGCCTGAAGCAGCCCCCCTGGGGAGGGTCCCAGCAGTGCTGCCTCCCCGCCTTGCTCTGGCCCCTCAGCCAGGATCCAGGCAGCCCCTTGCTGTGAGCTCCCAGTGGGAGCAGGGGCCGGGCACAGCCCCAGGGACGAGCAGGGCCCCAGCCCTGCGGTGCCAGAGGGAGGTGGCCCCGTCTGCCCGGCCGTCCGGCTCCTTACCTTGTTCTCTGCAGGAGCTGCGGCCGGGGGCTGCTGTTTACCGATGTTCTCGGCCAGACACCAGCAGAGCCTCTCCTTCTGCTCCTGGGAGTGAGCCTCCAAACGCAGCAAGCACTCCGACTTCTGACGAGGGAGACAGGCAGAGAGCGAGGGCAGCAGCAGCGCCACGGGGCCCGGCTCCCCCAGCCCCGGCACTGAGGAGTGCAAGTGCACATGGAGTGCCGAGTCCGCGCCCATCCCTGCAGGCACCCGGGGGCCGGGAAAGAGCCAACCGAGGGGAAATCCATCCTGCAGCAGCAGCGTGACAGGCTGGCTGTGGTGTGGGGGGGTTGGAGACAGGCAGAGAGCGAGGGCAGCAGCAGCGCCACGGGGCCCGGCTCCCCCAGCCCCGGCACTGAGGAGTGCAAGTGCACATGGAGTGCCGAGTCCGCGCCCATCCCTGCAGGCACCCGGGGGCCGGGAAAGAGCCAACCGAGGGGAAATCCATCCTGCAGCAGCAGCGTGACAGGCTGGCTGTGGTGTGGGGGGGTTGTGCCCAGGCCGTGGGGAGAGCCGGGTGGGGGGCAGC